AAGCCGAAGAGGCATCATGATGCGAGTTTGATGTTTCCAAGAACAACCTCATGAAACTCCTGGTGGTATCTCTTAAAACCTGAGAGTTTGGTCTGACTGCTTTGCCGCCTTGTGGAACTGTTAGGTAGTGAACTAGGTCCCCTCATGAAAAAACGATCTCATCCATTCTGATCCAAGGTATCCATGCAGCTGCTGGCGGCTTTGGTGGATTGTCACACGGCCAGATCCACCGCACAAGAACGTAGTCAAGAACAGCACCGTCTCGCGCGACCAGATTTGTCCAAATGTCCAAACACCCCAGCGAGCACCTCAATAACCAAGACCGCAAGAACCCCTAGTGTGACTACAAAGTTTAAGAGAAAAAGGCTGGGGTATCAAAAATGAATGCTGGGGTGTCAAGAAAGTGGGAAGAACTCACGGGCGTCACAAAAGACTGGGCTGGTCAAAAAAGACGGGAGGTCAATCAAAGGGTTGTTGGTGAAAAGGTAGGCCCTATAGATCATATGAAGGGATACCCTTTGGCAAGGATTCATGTGGTGCTGTGGGTCAATGGGCCCAAAGGATCAGTGAATGGTCATGGTGCTGGGGGACCTTGCTCGACCACAGACGTCCCGTCGACGACCAATCCTACCTTTTGCTCAACATTTGGACCCAGGTCTCCGCGATCTCATGTTGGGAGAAGATGAGAAGATGTCCGCGGACCCAACATGGACATCTTTGGGTCTCTTTGTAAACGGACCGTGACAGGGTCTTTGGGTCTCTCCCTGATGAGAAGATGAGAAGATGAGAAACAGATAGTCTCTTTGTAAAGAGACCTTCCCTGACTGAGCCTCGATTACATCCGGTCTTTCGTGGCCGGTTGCGGGAGCCCCGTTGTTCCCCCATGTGTCTTGTGGCTGCCGGCCCGCTTGGCTGTTGAGGGCCCAACAAAGATCACAGACCATTTGAACCGCACAAAACGACAGAAAAGGCGACTTAAACTTGAAGATCCGCAAAGAGGTCACTTTTGAAGAACCAGTTGTTTGCAAATTAGTTGGGAACTGAGGCACGAGAATACATGTAATCAATGTTGTTCCAACAAACTCAATCATATGGATACCTAGACCATCCAATGTTCATTTCACCCACTTGTCTTCAACCAGTTCAACCACACCTGCGACGGCCGACGTTCTTTATTTCCCTAGGTCGCCATGTTCACCGTGAGCTCCATCACCACGGTGTTGGTGTGCTACATATGGTCCGCTGAGTTCATTGCCGCCACCGGTTTCTCTTGCTTCGCACATGGCTACACCGCTTGGTGGTGGGGGCTGGGCGCCTGTGTTGCACGCAAGCAGCTTGAGACTCAGCTCCAATTTGGCCAGGAAGTTTCAAGAGAGTTGAAGACATGCGTCGCTTGCGTCGCCTTGTTTTGCACAAGAGCGGCTCAGTGTGTGCAGGGTCGCTTGTCGCTTGCTTGGAGAGCGCCTCAGCATGGCCCTTGGAAGGGAAATTCATGGCCCTTGGAAGGGTTTTTAAGCCACCTGAAAATCGATGGACATTCGCAAGTGGTTCTGAGAGCGACCTGGAAATCAATCTCCCACACTCAGAAGGCAGCCCGAACAGATCAGGGATGGAGGCGCCTAGTCACTCTAGGTTGTGCAACGATCGGTTGACGTCTGACCATTGAATCTGCTCCAAAATGAGTTGTTCAAAATGAGTTGCATCAGGGGCATCCTGAACACGGGTTTCATTTAATTAAACAGAGGTGCTGCAGGTCCTGTTTGATTCGCATGAACTAGTTCAATTAATTACGCAGCCACCGGTGGCGATAGATAGCTGCCAAACATCACAGCTGGGGATGCCTTTTCTTCCGCATGGAGCATCAAAATGCACAGCTTATGTGGTTGTGTTTGTATATAGGGAGGCTCATTGACCGATGGCTGGGTAGGCTGTCCGATGTTCCCAACCGAACGGGTTTCCTATCGGGAGGGGGCGATGTTGAGCTACACACCCTTCGCTTACCCTATAGATTTGATTCTTGAGGGTAAGCAAGGAGGCCAGTAGTTTCCCGCACTATCCCATATGGCCGTCAGGCTGTTGGTCCAAACCCGAAGCCCGGCCCGACCTGCTGGCCCGTCCGTTCTCGCTGGTCGAACCGGTCGATGTGGTGGTGCGAAGACGCCATATCTCCACCTGATGAATCAACAAGCATGCTTGTCACTGGGTTGAGAGGCAAATGAAGGCCGCAAGTTCGCCCGGTTTCAGGAGGCCTTAAGCCTTGCATGAAGTGATCTGAGAACCCTCAACTTGCCTCAAGTCTTAATCTTCAACGCAAGCAGTATAAGTTAGTTTCAGAAAGAAAAATACTAAGAACCAAATGAATAGTGTCAGGGCTCTGCTGCATCCTGGGTGGTAGCTGCTTAAGCTTACTAACTACCTCGTATTACTAGCTACTTGAGCTCACTATATGGCCTAACACACACCCCATGTGAGGATTTTGCAACAACTTGGCCTCCATGCTCAGCTGTTTGGGCGCTCTCGTGATCCTCCTCGGTCGAGTGGTCTTTGCGCTGCTGGAGCCCACCTGCGGGCCGGAAGGTCATCGGGTGTGCTATGAGGACTGCCCCATGAGTGGTGGTGCTGTGGGGCTTCATGACATCTGCCACTCGTCATCGAAGATGAAACATAGAGGGACTATACAGGTGAAGTTGTTTAATGACTAAGAGGTGTGAGTTCATGGTGCTGTGGGAGTTCATGATATCAGCCACTCGTCCGAATATTCGTGGAAGATGGGACTATGTCGGATGACCGAGAACCATGCACGATGAACTGTCCAATTGACTTGCTCCAAAAATATGCATGATGGTTGGAGGGTCATCATTTCGCTTGAAGGTCGGCTGCTTCAACAATCATGTTCGATTACGGTTGCAAAGAGTCAGAAGAACGTCGTAGATGTGCTCCGCACAGAGGTTCAGATCTCACTGACTCATAGTTCAAGGCAGCCCCATGATCGGAGGTCAACTGGATCAAGGGGTCAATTCCAGTCATATCTCTCACACAGCTTCCACCGAAAACGCCGTGGTCGTTCGCATAGCGGCAGCGAACGAGGTGACTTTGGGATCACAACCGCGGGCTACGTCTTGCTGTGTTTAGGTCAACTGAGAGATCCTCAGTACTGGCTGCAGGTGCCTCGTGCTCTCCAAAGAGAGGAAGAGGTGGAGGACATCGCAGCTCACAAGAGTGAAGCTGGTTCAGCAGAGCAGGTGGTGATGCCGGAGCAGGTGGGGAGAACTTAAACGATGTGGACCCTGCTTCTTCAGAAGGAGAAGGGTGGAAGAAAACGGAAGAGAATCAGCCCAGTGAAAATAGATGAACGATGATGTACACTTAATTGTATAATATTCAGCTTGTCAGCTTCTTTTGAACTGAAGGATTGAAAACCATGCCAAAAGACATCTCATATGATTCGATCCGGAAGTCTCCGGCTCAAGACCGTTCCAAACACCCCACCAACAACCAACAATGACTGCCAACCAACCCTTTTCTTTGCGAATTGGTCGCAAACCAACGTAGCTGTTTGACAAGTGTTAGTTTGTTCTTCCCTGTCTGCAAAACCAACAACAACATATCGAAAACGTCACTTCCCCCCACCGCCGACTCAACAGCCGTTTTCGGCATCGTCGGCGCCTGCCAAGCCGGCCAAGCCGGACGCACGGACATGGCAACGGCCTGTTGCCCATGTGGATGTGGCAGCAGCCTGGCATGGAGACCCCTTTGCCACCTCCTTGTCTTCCCTTATTGAAAGAAAAGGGAAACATGTAAGCAAGATTTGGGTTGAAAGAGAGCGTTCTCTTGGAACAGTCGCGTTCCAGTGGGAATAAAAGAACCTCCGTGGGACCGCCATGCAGCCATGCATGTTTCCTTTGAGCCAGGGCAATATCGCAGCAAGTGGGACCGCCATCGGCTGGAATCGGTTGAAAGTGTCGGGACCCCTTTCGCGCATTCGAGATGAGAAGGTCCCAGTAGATGTAGGTCGCACGAACAGAACGCTGTATGTAGGCCGAGCATTGAAGCTGAACAGAAGACCCGTCATTGGACAAGCATTGCTGAACAAGCCCTGTGTGTAAAGGAAGAAGAATTCTTTAAGGGCCATGTTCCACTTTCGTGATTCTTTAAGGGAGGGTCTCTTGCCATTCTGAGAAGAAACCAGTAAAAACTCGGCATAGCTGTCGCGGCCATGGCTGTGTGTGTGCGCGTCTGTGTTGAAGCAGAGAGAAGCAGCAAAGCTTTATGCAGATGCATCTGGCCGAAGAGCGGCCGTGAATGGTGTGTGCTGTGGATCAAAGTGGCACGGAGAGCCGACCTTCAAGGGCCCCAGAAGAAGGCGTTTTCGGTGGAGGTGGTGATGCGACACCTCAAACGTACGATCTCCGAATTCCATCAAGTTCAGTCTCGTGGCAAGAATTATAATTAGTAATATATATATATTTTTTAATTAGATCCCAGCTTAGGGAATGAAGGAACAACCCCCAGAATAAAGTTTGGTGAGAGAGAATTGTAAACTGAAACTCATTGAATATTCATTCTCTCTCATTCTCTGGTAGCGCGTTTCGGGGCGATGCATTTCTGTTTGTGTTGCTTTGTCCACCGACTTCGAACTGTGGAAAATCCAGGTCTGGTCATAACACAAGCTGCAATTGGGAAGGGAGCGGGAGCCGGAGGAGCCTGGCTGTGCCACGGCGGGGTTCTTCAGCACGGCATGACGACCGGACCTGGGCCGGACCTGCGGCCCGAGATCTCGAGCTTTCCGGTTGCAACGATTTGAAGATGAGTTCCCTTAAATAGTCCAAAGACCCGGTATACGACCTGTTCTTTTACATCCTTCAGGTCCTTGAGTGATGGTTTTGGCATGACCAACTGCAGTACAGCTCATTGACCCGTGGGGCTTGTTATAGTTGTGTCCAAATCCCCCACCGAAACCGCAGGCGACGACGTTCTTCGGTTCGACACCGACACCGCAGGTCAGCCTCTACACCAGCTGCTCGGTGTTGATTTGGGGCGGGGTCGTCCGGTCGTCCAACGGAACCCGTTGTGGAAGACCGTGGGCGAGGCGACCGGGTTCGTTTGGTGTTCAGCGCCAACGATGCGAACGGGAGCGGGACCCATGGCCGGGACGTGCTATTGGCGCCGGGACGTGCTATTGGTCCGTGAACCGTTGGAGAGCTCTTTCATGCATCCGAAAAAACCCGTGAGTCTCGTGTTGAAGCCCAACTCAAGAAGAGGGATGTGCTTCGTCTCGTGTTTCGATCCCCGAACCCTTCCCGGCCGTCTTTCCCAGCCGTTCCGTGTGAGGGAAATTGGGACACCAACAGAGGTTGAAGAACCCTATAGGCCATCCTATGGGTCCCCCAGTAGGGTCCTATAAGGTCCTTCAACCTCTGTTGGCAATCTGGTGATATGTTGCAAGGACACTCTTCACTGCTCAGAACATGGGAGAACAGGCTGGAAGACGGCCAACAACAGAAGATCACGCTGGCTCACATGCGCAATGAAGGTATAAATACCATGAAGGCAGAAGGCAGATAGTTTGATGGTTCGGGTGCAAAACCTGACGATTGGTGTTGAAACCTCTCTGAAGAAAGCATACTAGACAAACAGAAATGGAGTTGGACAAATCTCCTCATGTTTTGGCCAATGTGTAAGTCTTCATCCACACCACTTACTCGTAGATCGCCACATACTCAAGCAGTGTGTATAAATCCATGGGAAACCCGAAGTTCGTGGGACTTGGACTTCACCCGGAAGACGGAGCAAGGGACGTGACTTGCTGGTTAGCAAAGGTGTGGAAAGGGATGTCAGTAGCTGCAAAGGAGGAATTGGTCCACACCGAAGTCTCAATGGTGTGTTTATCCGACACTCAACTATATATATCCAAACATGTTATTGAGTAATACTCCAGTATACCGCATGTCCACGCCCGACCTATGCCCAACAGAGGTGAGTCATGTCACAAGGTTTGTCAGCCGACAGAGCACTCAGGGGCCGGACTCGTTTCGAAAGACTTCTGGTCGCCGCTGAGTCCAACACGGCGACCACATCTCCTTGCGTCCTGTCCTTTGACCACGCCAACTCGGTCGGGGTGTTGTTCTCCCCGAACCCCCGAACCCGGAACGCGGGACGCAGACCGTTCGTGAAAACGTACCGTTTTGGACGTGAAGCGCACCGTGCGCGGGGAAGCGATCTGGGGAAGCGATGTGATGCAGATGGTTTTCTTCAGGCCGTTCAGTCCGTCAGATGTTTGGAGTAGATGGCACGGTCAGACTCCAAGTTGGGTGGGGTGGTTCATATGTACACCCCTATTTGTTCAGGACTGAAAAAGGGTGCCAGGTGCCATCTACTCTGAAACCACTGTCTACATGGAATGGTGCCCGGAATCTGGAGGGTTCTTCACCCTTTTCATGTTTCCGATTCGGAGGGCGATCACGATGTGTGGGTGTGTCTTTTTGGGAGCAGCAGGTACCGATCGCCCAGTCTGGTGAGTAGACTGGCGCAGACTCTGTTCCTGAAGAACTTGAGGTCTCCCAGTCGAGTTTCACACTGCCAGGCCACCACGGATGGCCAGGCAAGGTTTCTTCGAAGGAAGGGTGTTTGTTCGAGTGCTGAATTTTCTATGTAGCAGCCCTACATGACTGTGCTCAGGGACATATCTGGGAAGATGGAGGTCTTCTTCAACCGCAGGAATTCATGTTTCCCTGAGAGTCCAAATCACTCATTTCACCCCGAACTGGTAGTGGTGGATTATGACTACCAGGTGGAGTAGTTCATGAGTCATTGGAAGTTCTGGGTTTATAAAGAGGCTTCACATGGCTAGACCTTTGCGCCCGGTCACGTCGGCGACCCTCTCCGTGACGCCGGTCTTCTTCCGTACCGAGGCGGCTCGTCTCTGTGGCGAAAAGGGTACTCCGAGGGTGGGAAAGTGATGGAAACCCTCGTCCATACGGTCACCTTCACGCGGGCTTGGTTGTTTTGTATAGTGGTTTCTTGCGGTGAGCGAACGTGCTGCACAAGGGCACTTGGAAGCCTTGGTGTCCTTGGAAGCCTTGGATTTTTATGAGAGACTGTGCTTTGTTTCTGTCGCCTTTGCGTACCCGCCCGATAGCGCGGGGGGGTTGTTGTTGTTTCAATTGGGGGGCGGTATTGTTATAGCAACAGGGCGGGGGTGTATTGTTGTTGTTTTAATTTGCGGGGCGGGGTGACGGGCCCAGGTTTCACAAGAAATGAAATGATGGGCCCGGGCTTTACAAGAGAAGGCATGATGTGCCCGGGATCAACAAGAAATGAAATGACGAGCCCGGGTTCTACAAGAAATGATAGGACGTCACACCATAGCCCGCTTGCTCGTGCCACATACAGCAAGAAGGTAAACCTTTCGCGTATCAGGGTCGCCTTAGTGACGGCAGGCCCCTGACTGGACTTGGGTTATCTCCTCGTCTGGAGCGGAACCGCTTTGTTGTTGTTTGTAGTTTGATATCCTGTTGAGCCATTGTTCAAGGGCTCACCCTGCGCTGAGATGGACGAGCAAGTTGCTGATTGCTTGGAGCAACTGCTCTCTGAGTACGTGGCCAGTGGACAGCGTTTGCTGATGGTGGAGCCTGAGAAAGGCGTCCCGCAGCAGCTGTACCCTTCCAAACCGATTGCTCTTGTATCCTGATTCGGCCGCGAAGATGACGTTCTCTGTTGTCCGTTTGACCCAGGCTTGCCAACAGAAAGATGTACATGGCGGAAAGGCCAGGTTGGTGATGCACTCTGTGCTGTTACTCATCTGGTCTGAAATCCATGTCAACCAATGCACACGGAGGAGGACCTTCTGATGCGAAAGTGCATATCTGTGCAGTGCAAATGCATGGTGACTTTCTACCTCCCAAGGTTGATGCTGTTGCCAAGCGCATCCATTCAATGCCCACCACAGTGAAAACAAGTTGGTTGAGCAATATTAAATTGTTGTAGCAACAAGGGGAAGTGTATTGTTGCTCTTTGAATTGGGGGGCTGGTAATTATTGTTATAGCAACAGGGCGGGGGTGTATTGTTGTTGTTTTAATTTGCGGGGCCGGGTGACGGGCCCGGGCTTCACAAGAAATGAAATGATGTGCCTGGGATCAACAAGAAATTAAATGACGGAGCCCGGGGGTTGTATTGTTGCTCTAACAAAAGAGCGTGGGGGTGTTGTTGTTCTGTTGGGCTCAACTAGAGACGAAGTGACGGATCTGGGTAAACGAAAACTGATACGACGGGGCCGGGATCTGGGTATGACGGATCCGGGTGTGGGGTGCTTGCGTTGTTGTAACAATAGGGCTGGGGTCTGTTGTTGTTGTTTTGGTTACCGGGGGGGTGGCTGCTGCCTGCCGAGAAGTTGGGACATCAGAATCCAAACTCTCCTACTTCTGCTTCGAACACGCGCACATGTGACATCGTGTCACTGCTCTGCTTGCAGCGTGGGCTGTGCATCACGTTTGTGACCTTTTTACACCACCGTGCATTCCGGTTTGCAGGAAAAATGCAGCACAACGACGCGCCGCCCGGCTTCGAGTGGAAAAACTTACTGTACGATCCGTGAGCGTCGGCCGGGCCACCCCGCTGCTTTAAGAGAAGAATTGCAACGATGTCGAAGCTGTAGTTGCGCTGGTGGGTTTTGTAAGTGTTTTCACCTGTGTCTCAACAGCTGCCTGCATATTTACACCTGTATCTCCAAAACTGTATCCCAAGACTTGTACCTCAACAAACATTTCCTCAACGCTGTGTCTATGTAGGTGTTTCAAAAGCAAGTGCATCACCTCCGTCCGCACACCTGTATGATGATAGTGATGATGATGATTATTATGATGATGGTGGTGGTGGTGGTCAGACAGTTGATGTTGGTTGCCGTTCTTTATGGAGACCTCTTCTCCAGGAAAAACGTTGCAGTTCCGCTGACGAAGTACAAGAGATGGCGTGTCAGTTTTGCCTTGTCTCCAAAAGTTTGACCCTCTTGACTCTTGTTCCCCAAATGGCACAGTAAAAAGGGTTTCTTACTCATCAAATGTTGCCGTCATGTCTTCCAAACTTGTCTCCCTGCTCGTTGGTTGCTCATTTGCCAAGTTTGTCGCCCTGTTCACTGTTCATGCGTTTGTCCTGCCATCGATATCTTGTCTCCCAAATTTTAGTGTGCAAAAGGTTATTTGGGGCCTATGCACCCTATGCCGGCGTAATTCGAGCCGATCTCGCTGGTGTTTTTGCCTTTGTTGAAAAAGGTTTGATGTTGCTTCACAGGTCCAATGTTTCAGTTCTGTTTTTGCATGCGACTGTCCAGGCAGACTTGCAAAGGACCAGCGCCTTGTTTTTTACCCTCAGTACCTTTTGCATGGAAGCACGACCCATCCCACTTCTATCCCTCCCGTAAAAGTCCTGCACCCCTTGTCATACCAAAGAATGCCTAGAGTGGGTGCTACTAGCCAGGTCTCCAGCAATGCACATGCTGGGTTCTTGCTTGGCCTGGGGCTGCTTCTTGGCGTGATCGCGAATGGGGAAGATTCTGGCCGACAGTGGCACAAGTCTATGGCCCATTCTGGCCATTTGATGGCATTTGGTGGGTGCAAAGGAGATAGGATCATGATGGATGATGTCGGTTATCTAGGTCATGATGTCATTTTTGGGGGGAAAGGAGATCACCTCATGAACACCTGTTGAGAAGCACATCTTCCGCATCCACCAGATGCCCAAGACCAATCCAAGTCTGATCAAGTTTTCAAACGCTCTTTGAAACATGTTTGTGTTTAAAACAAATCTTTAAACGTACTATTCCCAAGTCTGAACATTTGCCTTTGTCAGTGGAGGTAACAAAGACCAAGACCTCATTATGCTTCCATGTTTCTGTGGCACTCAAAAAAGCTTTTGAACATGCTTCGCTTTGAATTGCACGTTCCATTTGTTCCCTGTCCATCTGTCGAGAGACCACGTTCCACGTTCCCTGTGAGTGTCGCCGTCCACCGCCAAGGCGCGGTGGACTCAAGGTGCTGCCCGTGGCCGATTGCGTGGGCCGTAGACGGGAGGCCGTGCGACGGAGCCAGGTATAGGCGAATGTAGGCGTCTACGGTGCGCATCAAGCAGCACCAAATGCTACCCGCACCTTCAAATCAACACATACTTTCAAGGCATGATCTATCTATCGGTTTCAACCAATTCCCCCGCCAGCCTTTGAGGGAAACAATAATCCGTTGACCACTGGAGGCCAGTCCTAGGATCCTGTGATTCTCTCCACACGTTTGGCCTTGCACATGTTTTTCCTTTGCCTTGGCCCTCTGGAGGATGTGATAGGTTAAGAGAGATCGTTTCAGCCAGTCACCCCAATCAGGATTACACCTGCTACTCGACCACAAGAGCTTTTGCAGACGTCCACGTCATGTCCGTCGTGTCCACACCTATGGCCTCGGTCACCGACGAAAGCGAGACGTTTTTGGGGACGTCCAAATTGACGACCACAACATGCCTCATGTGTCCTCATGGTCCTTCGTGCCCACAAGAAGCAGGCCGAGACACCATGCACAAGAAGAAACCCAAACAAAAGAACGCGAAGACCGCGAAGACCGCCGGGCCCGGGCTACTCGGCCTCGGCTCGCCAAGGCTATAAGTATTTGCGCTTGCAGCACGAGACCACGTGCCTTGCTTCGTTCGAGGGTTTTGCTGGAGGGTGGATTTTGAGCGCCAGGCTGGGACGTGGGTGCAGATGTTTCCATCATGTAGACGTCGTTGGTTCGTAATACGACTAAAGAGGTTTTGCAATCCACCGGGGGGTTATCCATCAACAGTCTACATTATCGTCTGCAAAGACCTTCAAGATTTCCAGAGCGATTCTCGGACTGCACACGCAACGGAAATCAACAATGAGTCACAGAAGTGTTGTTCGTATAGTACTATGGTATGCTGTGAGCATTTCCTGCGGAACTTTCGGCCAGAAGATATCTTATTCTTGACACTGCTACCTACCAAATGTTTCTTAATGTAACGTTCTAGGGGTGTGAGTCAAGCACATTGTGGACAGCGATGGGGAACCTTTGCAGTCACTGATTGTACAGACAGCTCTTCCCATTTAAAGTTGTCTGACTCTTCTCCGTGAAAGCATCTTTGCTGTGTCGAGTTGCTGCATGGCTTTCTCTTCCCAAAACTACTCCCATCCACCGAAAGATCCACCAAACAAGCACGTCCCAAACTGTCCGGCCAGACGCGAAGTCTGGACCCTGCGTGGACCGGGACCGGGGCCGTACCCGAATCCTCGGATCAGGGGTCCGGACCTTCTCACCAATCCCTATGGTTTTGAGGGACCAAGGCCTGTTTGGAGCGTCTGGGGTTTTCTTCCCCAAGTCGAAAACCGACGTAGAAGGCAGGCTGATTCGACCCAGCTGCTGAACCGGCCTTTCCGCCTGGACCGTCTCCCGGACAGTTCGGTCTGGACCGCGGCTGGACCACACCGGGCCCGGTTTGCCTGAGGACATCAGGCAAGGACACCCCATCTTCTGCAGTGAAAATGCCCCAAATTGGATCAAAAGATGAGATGCGTTGACAAAAAGAAGTCGAACCAATCTGCTTGTTTACACCATGGACCTCCGCCACATCCACCTAGTATAGCTTCAGAGGTTGCCTCGCCCCTCCCCAGCACACTCGGTCTCTCCGACCGAGGAGCGCGGCGGTGATCCTGGGCCTGGCGGCGTCGCACGTCTCCAGCATGGACTCAGGGCTCACGCGGACGTCCGGGCCGCCGAGACCCGGGTCTGAACCGCGGGAGATTCGGTGCCAAGCAGGGTGAGTCTTTGGAGACCAAGGTACTCAATGAGCAGTCCAGTCACTCATTGGTTCAGGACATGTGTTTTTGTTTGGAGAAGGTGGTGGAGCAAAGGCGATTCAATCCTATTGATGACACAGTTGACCGGACGGTGTTTGTCGAATGTCATAGAGGTAGTTTGAACAACCAAATGAACAGTTACGTGGTCGGCCCTCCGGATATTGCAGGTTCGCAAGATGTGTCGTCCAGCATGTATCGACCTGGATGATATTAGATTCTCATTTCGACTGACTTGATCTTCGTGCACTTGGCCTGTCCTTGGATTAGAGGTAAATTCAACCCGCAAGAAGGTTAGTCGAGAGACTACTGCCATAGCTTTCAGTATGTTTTTTTGCGATCGGAAAATTGCTCCACCATTTGGTCATGGCTCAGCATTGCTCACCAAAAACGGGTGAAAAAGAAAACCTGCCCCTTTTCAACCATGAACATCCATGAAGCCTACAGGGAAACGACAATGTCTTTGTCCCCCATGGATGTCTAAGGATTTCATTTGTCACAGTACTGGAGCACCTCCGGTCTCCAGCACACCTTTGTCTAATGTCCGTCACCCGACACAGTCACCTCCGGATGTGTTGTCTAATGATTTCGGTCTGGATGTCTAATGGGGTAGGAGATTGTCACTTGCCTCTTACAGGATTTTCATCGGTGACGGTCACCAGGTCACGCGGGCAAGGACGCGACCAGGCGACTGATCAACCGGATCGAGACCGAGCACGTGTCATCCTCCGCGTCCAGGTCAGCCGTCGTGCAGGGACGGGGACTCCGCATCCACGGGCTCGTCGGGTGGACCACCGGGTTCAGCTCCAAACGTCGCGAGTTGGTGTTCTTGGACCCGAACAACAAGTCCTTTCGGGCCTCGTGGCCCTCTGATTTGGCAGAGGGAGTGGCTCTGATTTTGGGGTCCATGAAGAAAGACCTGACTTCTTTGGATGTATACAAAAGTTTCCTGGTCAAGTCTGCTGGGCTGGGATCTGATCCTCAGGTGCTGCGTGCACATCCCTTCGATGTTGCCTGCCACCTTCTCGGACGTCGAGGCCGTCACCGAACGCAGGGTGGGTGATCGGTGGACTTCGACGGATGGCACGACTGGAAGGGGCGGGTGGAAGGTGGGTGACTCAGGGATGGCACGACCAGTGACTAACATGTGCAGTCAGAGATCCCCAAACGCCTCAAAAGCGCAGAATTGACGGACAAAACGCCGCAGAACCTGCCAGGAAGGGGGAGAGAGAGAGAGAGAGAGGCTGTGTGTGTGTGTGTCTCTTCTTGCTTTCAAGCTAAGTGTGATCGGTTGAAACATTTGAAACGCAACATGGCAGCCACACAACTTGCAGCTAGGAAAGTCAATCGACTGTTTTACAGATCTTTGTGATCTACACACCTTGAAATCATCACGGTTATGTGGATGTCATGGCCTCAAAAAGATGACCATTTTCTGAAAACGAAACAGGTGGTGATTTCCACTCCGATTATTTCAGGGATTGTGTGTTTTTCATGGAACTTCTGCCGCTATCTATCGTGACTTTGAAGGCTATGTCAAAGCTATGTCCTATCCATTCAGGCCACTTCGATCGTTTTGTTCACGGTAACAACTGGGCTTTATTAAAGCTGCAGTTGAAGCTAGGCAGCAATAGCTCTCTTTGAGTTGTATGTCCACCGGGTCTCCTAGAACTTGCTTAAGGGTAAATGAGTATATGTTGCAGTTTCGGTTTGGAAGAGGAACATGAAAAAAGAAACACTTCGATCGCCAAAATCTACTGAAGCGAATGACTTCACAACACAACTTCAGCTGTAAAGCATGGAAGCCACGAGGTCCAGTCGCATAAGTCGCCTGATCGTCCCCCGTAAATAATATACCTATAGAGCCTGAGTGACCTCTATTTTGCGCCACCAACCACCCAAAATATGGTCGTCTCCCATCAAAACAGAAGTCAAATGATTCAATTGGGTTCCAGGTAGCTCAACTTGTTTGGATTTTTGGGCGCGCACATACCGTCACCCGCAGCCGTGTCCAGTGATTTCACGTGGTATTTCATGGCTAGACATGCACGATGTATTTCCCATTCGAAAGAGGTCCAACACATTGCAGGCTGCTTCGCTGGTTGATTCTGACCCAAAGACCTACAGTAAGGATCCGAAATCACCACCAGGTTTCTTGGTTCCTTCTTAAGCAAGGCCCACCGGACACGTCTCACCAAATTCGAGCGACGGTGGCCCAGGTGTCCAGCCCAGTACAATGCAGCGCAGTGTTGGCCTTGGGCTTGCTGTATGCAGGCGCTGGGGCTCAGCCCGCGGCGCCTCGAGCCGCGCGGGCGGCGAGCGATGCTTCGGGGCGGCGAGCAGTTGGGGAGGGGTCCATGGGGTCAGCGGAGACTGCAGGGTGCATCCAAAACAGAGGAGGTCAAGCCATCAAGAAACCTGCAGCCTTCTTCCGTTGTGGTTGAATGAATGGTCAACTGTTTGGTGACTGCTTGCGGGCTTTCTCCCTTGGTGGGCATCAAATCAAGCTTCAAGGATCTCGCAGGGCATCGCGGAGAAACAAGCTCACATGTTCACAGGTTCCGTTCGCCACACCGCGCTGGGCTTTGCCACCCATCCACCTTCCTTCCCAAGCAAATGATGTTTTCTTTGCGACGCGGTGCAGCTCTTTACACCCATGCCAGCACAATATTTGTAGAGCCAGCCACGAGCATGTTTGCCTTTGGGGGTCTTCCCGCGCGACGTTTGCTCCGAATCCCTTTGTGGCTTCTTGGTCTCCGTAACGTCTCTTGGGTATCTGCTCCAACTGCCCACAGCACAAAGCTTGTTCCTTATGTCATCTTATGTCCATGTTCGTCCCATCATCTGAGTCGTCACCTTTCCCATGTGCATCCACCCCGCTGCCCGACCGCACCTAACCCCTTCGCCCTGCTGTCGGCTCCAGGCTCGGGGCATCGCATGATGACCGAGCTGCTGGTGGCCGAGCGCCTCGGCGTCGGGTGAAGGTCGACCGAGTGGCCGTTCGACCGCTTTGGGGTGAGAACGGGTGAGAACGGCGTCATCCATGCAGCGTCATCCATCATCGGTGTTGAGTCTTTTTCTCGTGTTGCTGGGTGAAAAATGCTTCCAGGTCGAGAGTTGCTCAACAACACATGACATGTTTGTTCGGTCATAGGGGTGCCCAGGTGTATTTCACCATGCTCTCAAAAGGATGTAGTGTGTAACTACAACCCCGGTGACCTGGTGATGGAAGGCACTGGGCATGCGGCATAGTTAAGGTCGAGTCAACCCGTATGCTCACTCCATGCGAGGCTCCATCCATTTGTGAGACTCTTTTTTCGGGCTCCGTAATGAAGCAGGTCAAGGCCTTGAAGTTGAAGGTCAACACCTGCGAACAGAGTGTGAACAGAGTGTGAACAGAGTGTGCCTAGTGCATAGCAGGTACTCAGAGACAATGTTTGGCAGGACAGATATTGCATATTGCCAGATGATCAGCTCGGAGCACAGTACCAAAAGGCTGGTCGTCAATCTGCAATCAGCAGATGGCATCATTGACAAGATTGTGAAGGTGAAACCAGTGCAGAACGCCTAACGTTTCCCATTTGGATGACAAAAGCCTTTTGGGCAAGATTCACTGTACACAGGTGAGGAAACCTTTGACAAAAAGTATGTGCATTGTTCGACTATGGCTTCATGAGTCCTTACCGGCCAACAACATGCTGCCCATAGTTTGCGCTTGGTGCTGGCAGGCCCGCAGTGTAGTGTGGTAGGTGACTGTGAGGGCTTTCAGTGCAGGACAGGGCGGAAGTCAGTACCCCAAAGCTGCACCCGCTACACAGTGACCACCCATAACGTTAAAGGTGGTTGAAGAGGAAGACCAAGAAGGAGAAGAAGTAGAAGAAGGATCAGAAGAAACACAAAATTCCACAAAACGATTAAAAAAACATTATCTACTATTAGTCTACTATAGTCTCTTTGATCTTTCTTCTACCCTGGAAATGGACGTCCAGACCGAAACGCGGGCACGGCTCGTGTCCACCCGAGGATCGGTCGCAAACCCACGGACCGAGTGCTGCACGACCGGGAGGGCTACTCCCTGGCGGCAGGTGCGGAGCCGTTCGGCGACGGGGCGGAGTGGAGGGTCGAAGAGCCACAGGAAATGGTTGGTCGAAAAGGTGGGCCCGGCAGATCGGTAGCGAGCGAGTTGGGAGGGGGTGTTGGCTGTCGGGTGTGTCAGGGGTGGATTTTGAGACAGACTCAGGATGAAGATGAACCAATGGGCGAGTTTGGAAGCGTGCGGAAGCGTGAACTCTTCTCAGGATGCTCTGAGGATGCATGAGGGTTTCGTGTTGTCCAGAGCAACTGACTCTTTTCGTCCAAGGGCTGTTGTCTGGGAGGCGTGAAGAACCCCGGGTCCAAGGGCTAAATGAGTCACTCGATGCTACGGGGGGAGGGGATGATGAGGGTGAAACAATCCGGCGAAGACGCTCGAAACAAAACTCCAGACTCCAGCCAGTTCGGACATTTGTTTGGAGGGTCACCAGATTGCTGGATCGTTGCAATTGGAAGATGTTAGGGGTTGAAGATCCCCAAGCAATGACAGGATCCGAACACAGGATCTGAGAGGATCCGTTCATCCTTGGAGGAATCAGAGAAAACGGGACGGCTGGGTTCCTTGAAGACTCCCAAAACCAGAATCAAAGTGGTCATCAAGATGGGTAGTTCTTCAAGTCATGGCATGAACATGACTGACATGTTCATCAAAATGAGTGTTTGTAGTGGTTTGCCATCGATGTGCGGGGAAAAAAGGGTGCTTCAAGTCCAAGGGGTTAGTTCTTCCAAGTTCGCTGCTTGAACCGAGGGAAACCATGCGAATGTTGCCCAGAAAACAGCAGAAAACGCCAAGTGTCGGCACTCGTGTCTTCTGAATCACGCGCTTGGATTGGTGGGTGCAAGCCGCCTTCCCAGGTTGGCCCAGTCCAGCAACGCAACAACAGCAAAGGGGAAATTGTATATTTTTGCCCCATGTGTATCGTTCAACCGCGCCAGCACTGACTGGTGACCAGTTGTTTTTGTGTCTTGCGCAAACCAAACAAGGCCTCCTGTGAAACGCGTCCAAAGGAAGGAAGCACCCTTTGAAAAAAGGTCCAGTCGGAATTTGCATGTGCGGTTCGTCTTACCCAAAAAGGAGGTGCCTTGGAATGAAAAGAAATTTCGGTTGAGGTGCCTCTATGAAAGGAAATCCAGTCGGTCCTTTATGAAAAGACGTTGGGTGCCCAACACCTAGCCGAGCGGACCGCCTGAACGGGTTCCGTTTTCACCCACCCACCTCCACCCATCGCTCGGCGAACCGAAGGAACCGACGTCCGGGTTTGAGAGGACGAAAAGGCACTTCGAGAGGATCGGACATGAATCTCCCAGGGAGAACAAGAAGATGAGTGTAGCTCCTTCAGAGAGTTCTTCCTCACTACTGGATGTATTGGATGTGCTATGGATCTATCATCATATGACCAACGGCTGAAAGACTATTTGACGGATATGATTTGGTCATGATGTGGCGAAGTCATCAAATGAATGATACCAGAACTGAATGGATACCATCCAAGAAAAGCACGGATACCGTTGCATCGATGATGCGAGCTACTTCGTGGTTTGGATCGAGTTGCGCCATGGAGTGCAATGGCTGGAGCAAAGATCTCTGCGCCTTGATGCATTTTTCGTCGATCGCGGCGGCAGGGCATCAACCGCGCAACGCACGAAGATGGTCCAAACAGGGTGGTTTGGAGCTGGGAGGGTTCCCTGTGGTTTCATTGGGGGTCCCCGCGCAAGCGACGGCGTTTGTTGCACCTTACACACACCCTCGGTGTGGCAGTGAGTTTGTGTGAGTTGTGTTTACACGCTATAGTTTTCACCCACAGGTTTATGAGCCAAGACGATGCCTTTGCCATCGGATCTTCCCTTCGTTCATGATGCAAAGCCAAGGAACCCAAATTCGGAGTTCCTCCCAAACCCCTGTTCAGGTCGCACCCACCTGTTTCAGGGCGGCCTCGAAGAAGTGCTCCTCTTTGGGGGGGTCTTCCACGGCTCAGAAAGGATCCTCATGACATGTCCACTAATGGACGTCACATCAGGTTTATCACAAGCTGGAGACGCCAAGAACTGTGTCGTGCTGTAGAACTTCTATTCGGATCAACCTCAAAAAATCCTCATGTCTTCAAAATCCTGGGAGTCAAAGACTTTATAAAAAGAGTGGTCTTCAATTGACCCGAAGAGCAATATCCTTTACATTCCTTTACTTCAGTCTTGGACTTCTAGGGAAAAGGTGTTCGGCTCAGCACACCTTATGAAGAGCGTCCTTCCCCCGAGGACCTGCAGCGGCTGCGGCCGGGCCAGCGCGTGATTCTGCAGCACTTGGCCGCAGATGACTTCAACGGCCTCAAGGGAAAGCTGGAGTACCTGGACCGACGGGTGATGCAAAAGGTTGCCTCTCTTGTTACCGATGTAGTGTTTTTGTCGCACCTTCTTTTTCTACAATTCATTGGGTTTAAGGCAGATGTGACCATTTTAGTGATGTAACTAGTGTTCTTTAGTGTTTTCTGTTGCGCCTTCTTTTTTGCAGTGCATGGGGTTGTGAGCAGATGATGTTTGCTTTCTATCGATTGCTGGGACTTTTGGCCATCTCATCAATGCTTTGACCTTCTCCAACTTAGCCCTTGTAGAACATATTCTTCTCTCAAAAGCCAAAACTGTGAAAGGGACGGGACGGCCGTCCGGGGAGATCTGGCGGTCGGTCGGACGCCGTGGCCAAAAGGCTCGGGGTGTCCACGTCTTCCACTAGTAACAAGGTTCGCTACGTGTGGGGCTCCTGGCATCGCTACGAACGGAGCGATCGGACGCTACGCACGGGGCTCCTGGCCGTACTACTAGCTACTAGAAGCTACTAGGAACAAGTGCATCGCTTCTAGTAACAAGTGCCTTACTAGTAGTAACAAGGACGCTACACACGGGGCTCCTGGCCTTACTAGGAACAAGGACACTACTAGAAGCTTCTTGTGTCTGTGGAGTCCTGCGTCCTGCACGTGGGACCTCCACCCGACCTGACGTCCGACACCGGTGGCGAGGACGAGTCGTTGACACCGGCCCGATGGCACGTGCGCTTGGAGGGCGAGAGAGGTGTGACGCAGCTCGGTGTGTGCGAATGGGACGGGCAGACAGGAGGGTTGGAAGATGTAGGAAATATCCTGGGACTGATAAAAGGCGTTTTCCAAATTCAGCCACGGCCATTCGGCCGAACCAACACGGCGCCTTCGCGCCGAAACACACTGAAAAGATTTGTGGCAGCGCCGCGTTCACGTGAGTCGCTTTCACGCGCCGATCGTAGTGTTCTGCAAGGGAAGGGAAGATGTTCACGTCTTTTGATGTCTTTTGGAATCCAAAGGAATCTGCAGAATCCTACGGCGGAGTCATCTCGAGACATCCGAGGCATCGGATCTTGCCCGAGAAGCTGCGGCCGTGTCCCAAGGAGCCCCGGTTGGAACGCGTTGGAAGGTCCATCGAAAGGATCAGGATGGGAACTTCGGATGAACAAGTGTGACTTCTTTGAGTCTTGAACGAGTGTGATTTCTTGGGTCAACGTTCTCCATGAAATTGGGGTCCGGAGGACCTGGAAGCCGCGTTTGGCTTCCACAAACCAATTAGCTCAGGGTGTCAACTGTCAAAGTTCCGGGTGCCAACACTGACTGTCATCCCCCAAGAACAAGAACCAAGACCGCCGCACACAAGGGGGCGATGTTCACGATGCCTTCCTGTGTTTAGACATGACGAAAAGGAGAAAAGGAGTTTTGTGGAGTTTGACCATGTTCCAGGTTATTATGTTTAGACAAAATGCTAGGAAGACCCATTAAGCGCCCACTTGCCAACCCATTTCTTTGGAATTTTTGCCGACCTCTTCGGTGCTAGGATGTCAAAGCCGGCTGGAGACATAGAAGAAAGACCCTTGCAGACCGTTTGTGATTTTATTGAGAAAGGTTTCCATGGTCCACATAGCAAGTATTCTTTTCTTGTGAACCGTCCTATTTTGGTCAAGTGGTATGTCGTCGAAGGAACGGATGATGAAGAACAATCAGCTTTCTCGCTTGTGACTGCAGCATTTCTAGCTCTAATTATACCGGCCGAACTCCATCAATCACGTTGACCTTGAGCCTGTTGGATTCATTATGATTCATTGGTAAGGACGTGGATTCAAAGATGTCCCAAATCCAGCTGTAGACCAACACTCACCTTCCCAGCAAACAGCATCTGATCGGACACGAGGTTCTTTCATAAAGGACAAACCTGTGAGAGCACAAATTTCGAACGCGGAGCATGTCCTCACTTGAGATCAAAACCGCAACAAGAACTCCGCAAAAAAAAAGAAAAGCACACAAAGCCATCATGAACATCCATGAACTATAAGGAAAGCAATTGAAACCACACCCTGTCAAAGTGTCTTCTAACACTCCTTGTTCTCAGCCCTTGGACGGTTGCGTCCGGCCACTCGCACCACCACGGCCACGCCGTGGTCGCACCGCGCGGCGCTCGCGCTGTGTGTGGTCGCTATGGGGCAGAGCAACAGCATGTGCCGATCGCAGTGCAGTCAGGCGGACTTCACCGGAGCTCCTTGGCTCTGGACGGCGGCGAGTTTGCGCGGTGGGAGGACCAAGACGAGTAGACCCTAAGAGTAGACCCTTTCAGCTTGGGGCATGGACTGCACTCTTGGGCGCGTTATTTACACGCTACGATTTCTGAAGCATGATGGACCCGCAAAGAAGGCACCAAGAGCGGCTTGAGTTGTTTGCAACAGGCGAAGCATGTCAAAACAGCCACAAAACCTCATGAGCTGTTCAGCATGCATTGAAAAGAACAAACCAAACCAGCCCCGAAAGCCCTGAATTTCCACTCATTCTCCCTTGTTCACCACCTACAACGCCTTCTCAAAAGCCAGCCTTCTCTTCTCCCCCACCCCCCCAACACCTTAATTTCGACCTCGCACCATGACTCCAGAGACGAGAAAAGACCCCGATCACACCAAGGAGCTTCTGGAGACGGGGCCGCCGCTGGTGATCGC